CCGGGCTTATCACACTCAGAGTCGTAGACGCTATACACTGCGCTATGCAGACATTACACAATCATAGTAACTCAATCTCACTTTTATAGATAACTGATTAATTTGAACATTCATGAGTATTTCTAATCATGAGTTAGAGGGTAATATGTTTTGCCATTCCAGTCATGAATTGTATTCTGTCATTGACTGTGATTATGAGATGTCATTATATGAACGATTAGTTTTATCCATCACTAAGACTCACACACAATACGTCCACAAAATGACACATTCACCCACAAGTGGTTAAATAGTTTTACACATTTGCAAGTTTTACTCATTTTGGTTGAATGTATTTATCCAAAAATTTGAGGAGCAATTGTGAATACTTAAACCATATAACAGTGTATGTACATTTCATTGCTTAATGCTAAAATTAAACATTATTATTATAACAATCATTAGAAAGGGATTAAATTATTGACAGATAAATTGCGAGACAATAACCAAATATTTTTTTCAATTTTATGAAATATTACAAAGAATTTAATAACTTATAAGTCATAACTAGACTTCGGATAAATATGTCATAAAATTTTTTTAATTGTTGTAATTTTTAACAAATACGAGACTAGAGTTCGCTAAATACCCAACAATTAAAGCCCGATATTTAGGTTCGGGTTTTGAATAAAATAGTCTTTTCTTGTGTAAAACCTATTGATTACTTAAAATGCCTAAAATTAAAGACATCTCAAAGAGATTAAATAATTTTATATTAGAATTTAATTCAGTATTTGCTATAAATAGTGAACTTTGTTTTTACCAAACAATTTATTATTCAGTAAATTTTCGGGTTTAAATAAATACTGGGTTTTATTCATTCATTTAACAAACTCTAGTTTTGCGTTTTTTAAAAATTACAACAATTAAAATGTCTTTACGACATATTTATCCGAAGTCTAGTCATAACAAAATACAAGAAAAGTAAGATATCTTTAAAGTAAAAATAATCAATTATATTATATATTAAAAACATATTATATTACAATGAATACGATTTTTGCTTTTTATGTACTTTAAAATATTAAAATATTTTCAATAAATTGATTCAAAAAAGTATTTAATTAATTAAAAATTTAAAAATATACTGGAAATTGTTTTTATATCGGGGGTTCAATTATTAATATTACCGGTATGGTTTCTTAAAAACAATATAAATATAAATAATGTAGCATGTTGTGCAACTTTGAAGTAATTTCAAACAATCAATTCATTGAAAACTTAAATAATATGAAACAAAAGTACGAAAACATTTATTATGCATAAACCTTATGATTATTTAAACCAAAAACCATTTTGTACTAAAACTGTTATTTAAAATGATATAAATAATACAAAAAAGGTTACTATAATTCATGACATTTGTTGAAAACACTTTATATTGATTTCAGTAATAAAGATCCGAAACGAGAAATCCTTGTTTTGTGTCATAACTTTTGTAAATAAACTTAATTTTGAAATCAAACACAAATGACATAACTGTAGGATATTTACCCAAAACACGATTCTCTATAAACAGGTGTTTAGGTTTTGGTATCAATAAATATTGCCATGAAATGCATTGAAATAAACTAATATTATATCCGAAGACTTATTATTTCAGACAATAATTAACTGTCTTATCAGTCTTGAGATCGCTTTGAGACCCAGTTATCTAATAATATAGGTGTTTGTCTTCAGTTACGACATTTATTACGTTAATTACAGTAAACATCAGGTATAGTGTACTACAGTTATAGTATTTCAGTATAAAGTAGTGTATTATAGCACAAAGTATACAAACGTAAGAGTCGTTTGTGTTATATAACGAGCGATTCATTTGTTACACAGTCTCTCACTTTATACAAGAATTCTGTTATAAAAGCAAAAGCTTTTTCGCGAAATACACTTTTCAATAAGTTATAGCAAATCGTCAATTGTATTGCTTTGTGTCTTAAATAAGATTATTTTTTATGAACTTTTAAAATATAATTATACAACTATTTAAGGTATTATTTGTTACGTACCTGTTATGATAATTATTTTTTAATTGTACTATTGTATTATTAAAGTTTGTAAAACATTTCCACATATGATTATATAACTAAATGAATATTAATTTTTTGTTTAGTGTATGGATTGGAGTGATAACTGAATTTGAATTAAGATAATGATTAAATTTGGGCTAATTTTGTTGATTGCATTCATAATAACTGTCGATTGTTTACCAAAACATCTGTCAATAATCCGTAAAAGTATCGCGAGTTCTGACTATGAAAACGATGCGATTCTTCAATACAAATCTCAAGCCATTAGAGCATATCTCGAGAGAATGGATAAGGAGAGTGCCATCGCTGGTCGGCCCCGGTTTGTGACCACACTTTTATACACATTTCCATTGTATTTCATTATATTTCAATGTAATTGCTTATTGACATCGTTTTATTGCATTTACTGTAGGTTTGGAAGAAGTATTTCATCTAAACTCTTCATAAAGAGCTGACATTTAAATTAAAAGTTTTAATCAATCAATTTATTTGTGAAATATTTATAAAAAGCATAATTTTCGGCATATATTCCTTTCAAATGCATTGTTCACCAAAAAATGTTCAAATTATGAAATATTTGTAAATTTAATGTAAACAACAAAACTGATGGTTGTTCTCCAGAAGCACTATAAATGATTGTGTTGTTAATGTGATGTACTGTACATTTTTAACTATTTGTAAATTATCATTATTATATGTATTATTATTTATTTATTATAAAATGTTCATGTACAGTATTTATATTTATAAATATGTGACAATTTATATGAATACTCAATAATAAAATAATTATTACAAAATATATTCCCATTAATTTAAACTTAACCTAATTATCTGATTATATCGTGAAATCAATTGATTGGCATTGAATTTAAGCTCTCGACTCATGATATATAACGTGTAGTTATATAAACCCCAAAACTATTTAAATCCTGTATTGAATACAATGTTCAGTGTATTCCTCGTTAAAAATATTATCTTAAAATGATTATAAGGTTTAAATAATTATTGTTTTTACACAGCATTTCACTTATTTTGCCTGAAATCATTAGAAAATAATAGCTTTAAAGTGCAGTATATATGAGTGCAAAAAACTTAATAAGTTATAATAAACATGTATTTGTTTTCTGTATAAATGATACCATTTTGATAAATCAATTGTAATTTCAATTTATAATCCATTTAATAACTGTTATCTAAAGGTTTTAGGAGTCTATAGACATTGTATAACACTAACAAACAAGTAATATAAAGATATACTAAAATATATTTTAGCGGTAATATATTAATGACATTTATATTTAAGATTACATTTCATTATAATATTGTATACAGTATTTAGTAATTCAATAGATGAATAAATATATAAATTGTATAGATTGAAATATATTTATAGTTTGCAAAGCGTGTCAATACATATGACAACTGATGAAATGTCGATAATGTGATTACTTTTTCCTACAATTTATTATAGTTTTAATACCAATATCTTTACTTATATATTGTATATGTAATAAATAACACAATAGTCCGACTATTTCACTAAATAATCTTATTTATGTCACATTTATATAAAAATTTATTGCTTGAAACTCTTGTGACAAATATTATTTAATAAAGCGATAATAAAAACTAAAAATTTAATAAAAATTCTTTGTTCGTTATAATTATGATTACTGTATGTAATAATAAGTGTTGAGTTATTTCTGTAAACAGATATTTAATTAAAATAGTATTCATTCAATAAATGCTTTTACTATTATTAGTAAAAATTAAATCTCAATTCTTAGAATGAAAAGGTTATATAACTTATGAAGTAATTGACATTTCTATTTAATAATGGATGTGATCGTCACATGAATGTGACATAAAGCTGTAATATTAAAAATCAATGAGAAAGCACACTTTCATTTAATAATAACATTTGTACTAACTTTGTACTGGATTTAGTACATCTTGTACCATGTAAATATAAAGTGCATGGTGCAAATAAATTAACTAATAGTGCATGTGTTTTATGAATGAATATATTACAAGAACTCAACTTATGCTAAAACCCCATTAAATAAATATAAAAATCAATAATTACGAAAATAATTATGACGGTTATAAATACAATTATAGTGTTATTTATAAAATTGAAATAATCATTTGTAAATATGTATTTATAGTAGAAGTATAACAGACTATTTAGTCAATTTTTTTTAACCACCTCTAGTATATTAACTATGCTTTTGTTAATATTTAATTAATAAAAATAAAAATTATTGTATTTGATATAAAACTAAAATAAAAACAAATTGTTATATTTTCTATTGTTTAAAGTTTAAACAATAACATGAAATACATTTTTTAAAATTTGATTTCCATGTATTTCACAAAATAGACACAAAATGCATATTTAAATTAATTAGTTAATTATTATAGTAATCATTAAATACTTTCACTTGAAATTAATTTTCATTTAATCTAAACAATAAATTAATTGCTGAGAAGTTTTTCAACGAGAATAACATGAGAATAGTTATTAAAAATAAGGCACAAAACTTTGTAACGACTGTTGAGGTCACACAACTAGCTATAAACTGTGGTTACATTTACACAATTTTCAGCACACTTTTAAATAATTGCTTATTTATATGAATAATAATAATAATAATGAAAATATTTCAAATCCTGAGTCTCTCAAGCAATTCATTGAAGCGGTCGGTCCTTAAGGCGCGAAATGTGTTTACAATTAGAGCTTTAAATTAGAGAAATGTTTTTATTTTGTGATATATTCTGTGCGAAGTGTAGGCGCATAACAAAAGGGGTTTTGACTTTTGTGGGTCAATATGTATGCGAATTAATAAGTTTTTAAATATATTTATTATTGTTATCTTAACTCTCAAAAGGCATAAGTATTTTATATATTGAATATTGTTTTGACATTTATTTATTTAACATTGTTTTTTATTACTCAATATATAATAATCAAAATTCTATATTAAGTAAAAACGCGGTTCAAATCTGTGGTATTTTTTTAAAAATCCCATAAATGAAACTCTCGTTAGAATTTTGGGAAATTGTTTTTGGTTTTGTAGATATTGTTTCGCAACAAATGTCCTAATATTACACTGAATTGACAGATATGTTATTTATCTAATTTATATTCATTTCTCATTAAAAATTTTACATATATTTAAAGTGAAAACTGTTTTACAAAGTTTTTATTTTTCAAAAATACTAACAAAAAAGTGAAATTTTTATTAAAGTCCAAAATTCTTGAACATAATTAAAATTGATCGCAAAGTTTGTTAATCGGTGTGATTATGGATGCGTTCACTCGTCTATTATTAGTTGCCATTAATTTAATAATCTGTTTGTATTGTCCATCAAATTGTTTCCCTTCGGGAGCGCCGGTGGAGGCGTGCGATACACTACAGCCCCGACATGTGGGCACTCAATCGTTGGGCGCAAAGGAGGCGCCCTATTATTTGGTCCAATCTTCTAATAGTTATGGCGATGGCTATGACGGACGCGTCAAAGGGATTAAAGGTTAGATTTATTAAGTAAATTGATTACATTTTTTCACTTATTTTCTGAGAAATATATTAAATTTCTCGGAAAATATTTGTATTATGTTATAATAGACTACATTTACACGCATTCTCTTGCAGCAAGAGTCTCTTGCTCATCTTATTTCTCAATCATCATGATGAGAATATTTTATATTAAATTCCTTATTACATACAAGCATTTTTAGTATAAAAGTTTTATATACAGTTGTATAAGTTACATATTGTGTGTAGAAAGTATACAATAAATAGCTAAAAATGTAGATTATTTTAATGTCAAATCGGATCAAGTATTGAGAATAAGTTTGCAAAATGTTTTCTATGAAAAGGTTTTTCCCAAAAGAGGTATTACAAAAAATAATTATATATTGTTTTTAAATATTTTATATAAAATTAATTAGGTCTATATTTTATAATAAATAAATATAATTTGATTGCGGTCAAATTAATATAATTTTAGATTTTTAAAACATTTATTACTGATATTACGTACTTTGTTAGTATAAATAAAATAATTTGTGACTATTATTATTGGCAATATTGAGTCCTATTGTATCTTACTTTACATTTTATTGTATAATATGCACGAATATATGATATATTTTGTAGTTTAATATCAGTCATTATATAACCTGGTATATCTAGAATCTAGATACTTTTATTAGCAGATTTATGGTAAAATTTTTGTAAAACATAAGGGTATGTTTGCCCCCATATATTAGACGTTAATTATACTAACAAGGATACTGAAACCCATGTTGTGTTTGATCATAAAAGTAATGCATAAATAAAATGTTAATTATTAAGTTTTTTTTAATGAATAGTTTGGCTTAAAAAGTATTCAATTATTATCTTTAGTAGTATTTGTTTTAATAAAAAATTTAATAAATGAATGAATAATTCGTCTCATTTATAAACATGAAATTTCCTTATGTCTTGTTTTCATAAACATTTTTTTCGGTTCACAATTGAAACGAAAAGTAAAAATAATAATAAAAAGGGATTTTAATGAAACTTTTCAACAGTAAATTAAATATACGAAAAGCATGTAAAATATTTCACGGTTTGTTAAGTAAACTTTCTTTAATAAAAACAATAGTTATATAATTTTTATGTTACGTTTAACAGAGCTTTTATTTTAGTTAATAAAATAATTAATTTAAAAAATGTAATATTTAATTAGTTTGTGAATTATTGTAATGATTGCATAATTTGCATAGAGATCGCATTGACACACATTTAATCTCAATGAAAACTTAATTATTAATATTTACATTAAATTATTAAAACATTTCAATATCTGCTGACCGAACGTACAAACAATTAAAAGTGATTTATTTGTCTTTAATTTGCGTTTAAACAGCGCTTAAGTGGTATTAAAATATGTCATTTCAATAATATTAAACTTTATTAATATTTCATGCATTAAGACATCAATTGAAATTAAGTTAAACCCTAAAACTTATTATTTATCAATACAATAATGATTTTGCAATTTCCTAATAATAAAAACACATTTCTTATTCAAAAATAATGGTAAATATCAGTGGAATTGGGAGGAGAGCTGTTCAAAGGATTCATGATTGTAGCGATTGATCCCTTAACCGGAAAACGAATCGGAAATTGGATTAAATTTAAAGGTTATATCCATTTGTTAATTAAAATATTTATTTAATAATACTAAATCATGTGATAATCATATAAATTGTATACAACTATAAAGTTAATAAATAAATACATTAAATGATAGGAACCGATATCCTTCCCTGTTCTGCGATAACGCACACCAATTCAAGACCCAAACGCATGGCATCGTTGATATGGGTGCCCGACCCCGGGGCCAGAGGTTACGTCGCTTTTGAGTAAGTTTTCAGATTGTTTTTAAACATCTCTTTTATATAAAATTAATGTACATTTTGATTGTTTGATGTTTAGGGCAACTATTGTCCGTTCATTTAGTGAATACTACTCTGGTTTAGGTTCAGTTCTACCCCATCAACAAAGCATTAGAGAAAAGAGTGCTCAAAGCTTATCAAAGAGTTAATTATCCCGTTTTCATATGTAATTGCAATTCAATTTGCGTGTGAATTGTGTTTTTTCATCAAAAATAAAAATTAATGTATCTTTAATTTGTTTACTAAAATTATTGTTCGTTTAGCATTAGTATTACATTCAGTATATATTCACTAATATTCCTATATCTGGTCATCAATTTTACAAAATATTTATAAACTA